AACTTAACCAATTAAAAAAGAAAATCATTTGACAATGCAGAGTCAAGAAAAGCTAAGTCAGTGTTGAAGAGGAGCAACATGACCTTGTAAAAACCAAGGCAGTGTAGTATAGGGGAAAGATGGATAAAGAACCAATGAAAGAACGAAGAAGAGCCCAGAAACAGACCTACACATCCACGTAAATGTGACATGCGAGGAACGTGAAACTACAAATCAGTATGGAGAGGATGTACTTTTCGATCAGTGGAGGTGTGGCCACTGGCTAGCCATATGAAAGTAAGAATTTGGGTCTCCTACTGTATACCATACCTCCATCAATGTTAGGCAGATAAAGGACAAATGTGAAAGGCAACATTTTAAAGACTTTTGGAAAAAAAGTAGAGTGCGTTGATGACCTAAGATTAGGAGAACGTTTTTAAAATACAAAATCTATATAAAGTGCATTTAATGTAGTCAAACTCAAACTTCTTCTCAAAGACATCATAATTAAAGCTAAAAGATATGTCTTACACTAGGACATATTTGCAACTCAGATAATCCACAAAGATCAGCAGCCAGAATTCATCAAGAACTCCTATGTAACAGTAAGAAAAAGAAACATCCCAATAGGCGATGGATATGAGTCAGAAAATCGTAACAAAAATCTGAGTGGCCAACAAGAAGAGATGCTCCTGAATGGATATGGCATAGCAGTTACACAAACTAGAGCTATTAATCTCAAAGACAATGTTAAGTGAAAGACACTGACACCATTTATGCCATGATTTAAATCAGTGAAAGCATGTTACATGTTTTAAATAAATACTTACATATACAGTCATGGCAACAAAACCATGCTTGGGAATGAAACACCAAGTTTTAGACAGCAGTTACAATATAACGGTGTACTAAGCCAGATTACACTGGTTTGCTTTAGCAATTCTGCAATTTCTTCTTAATTCCAAGTTCAGTAACACTGTGTTAACAGGGGTCCTCAAACTTTTTAAACAGGGGCCAGTTCACTGTCCCTCGGACTGTTGGAGGGCTGTATAGTTTAAAAAAAAAACTATGAACAAATTCCTATGCACACTGCACATATCTTATTTTGAAGTAAAAAAACAAACGGGCAAAACACCAGCATGTGGCCCGGGGCCCGTAGTTTGAGGACGCCCGATCTTGAAAATCTGCTATGATGGGAGTGTTTACACCACAGAAATTGGCAGCCACTATTAGTTCCAGATTCTCCCTTCCCTGTCCTTGTGCCAGAGAACTGGTTTACCAGCACATCAGTATGTCATTCAAGAAGAGCAGAACGTGATTGAGAAAGGGTTTACAAAAGGCATCAATATTATGTATAGTATTTTTAAGCTTCAAAATATTTCTGAAGCACATATGGCACAAAGAAAGGCTACTTGACAGAGTTGGAGGTGGTTCATGGGTATTTAACATATTATTCTATGCTTTTTGGTATTTTGGAAATTTTTCCTGAAAAAAAAAAAATCTAGTCAGCTGAATTTTTCAGGCCAACATAAAACCGTTTCTTTTTGTCCTCTTTAATTTTAGCAATTTAAGTCTTGCCTAGTTGGCCGCAATATTATTATATTATGTGGAAAAACTTGGTCCTAAATAGAAACTTTAAAAATTATTTTTTCAAGCCCCAACCACAGATTGGCCAGATAGCTGTATCTTTGAAATCAATTGATGTAAGGTATATAATAAAGGATTATTAAGCAGCATTGACATAAAAAGTCACATCAATACCCTTGCTTAACCAAATATAACAACAAACACATCTGAGCTCCAAATTTAGATTCTAGAGTTAAGAGGAAGGAAATAAAAATGAAGGACAAAATAGTACAGATAATTCAACTGTACAACAAGAAGATAGTCTTGAAAACTGAATGGTATTAGAGATTTAACAAAACCAGATATTCAAAATGGACTAGATTGGATTTCTAGCTCTATGTCCTTGTATAAAGGACTTTCAATATTGTAAGATGGATACCTCGTCTATAAAATACACACACACATATATAATTGCATCCTATCTACTTCACAGAGCTGTTAAATTATTAAATGAGACAGTGCATGTACAGGGAATATACAAATGTGATCCACACAAGGGACAGGCATGAATACAATCACTTGTAACTGTGTCATTATATCAATGCCTCACATATCATCTTCAGGGTACTCACTCTGATTCAGGTTATTTTAAGCATGTCTGACTTTCAGGTTCAATGAACAGCAATAGGAAAGAACAGTGGATCGATTCAGGAATGCAAAGGTCTTCTCAGTCATCCATCTTCTGCAGACTGGGCTGCACTGCAAAGATCTCTTGCTAACTCATTCTAATCTTTGTTTAAATAAGATGACACATAAAGATTTAAACTCCAGGGAGTAAAAAAACCCCTCCCGGAGTAAGCTGCAACTTCATGAACCATGGCCTGGAGAGCAGGGCTCCACTCTGGCAGGAGGGCACGTGGCTCCATGCCTGGGGTTTGGAGTCAGAGAGGCCCATATGATGCATATGAAGTGCTAATGCATGCAAAGCTCTATGGCCTCTGGCATGAGTAAGCACCCTATAAATACAGTCACCAGCAACTTTCAGCCAAACCACAAAAGACCTGGCCAGCGGCCTCCGAGCATCCAGCCCTCTTGCCTCTTTTTGGGTTGCAGGGCCATTAGTGGGCTCTGGAAGGAGAAGCCACACAGTGGCTCACAGGATTTTGGCAGCAGCAGCTGCTAAACGGGGGCCTGTTCTAACACCAACACGTAACTAATGAACACGTATAATACATCTGGATTCTCTACTCTAGTTTTTATGCCCGTTCTTCATTTTCTTATCCTGGTGTTGATTTTATTTATTTTTTTGAGACAGAGTCTCATTTTGTTACCCAGGCTACAGTGAGTGCTGTGGTGTCAGCCTAGCTCACAGCAACCTCAAACTCCTGGACTCAACAATCCTCCTGCCTCAGCCTCCCGAGTAGCTGGGACTACAGGCATGCGCCACCATGCCCGGCTAATTTTTTTTCTATATATATTAGTTGGCCAATTAATTTCTTTCTATTTATAGTAGAGACGGGGTCTCGCTCTTGCTCAGGCTGGTTTGAACTCCTGACCTCAAGCAATCTGCCCGCCTCGGCCTCCCAGAGAGCTAGGATTACAGGCGTGAGCCTCCGCGCCCGGCCCTGGTGTTGATTTTATCTAGACTGTTTCTCAACCATGGCTGCACATGACAAACACCTGAGGATCCCAGAATTTCTGGAGGTAGGCTCTAGCCATCGTATTCTTCAAAAAAGCTTCCCAGGTGATCCCAGCGTGCAGCCCGGGCGGAGAGACACTGATTCAGAATACAAACCATTTTTCAAAGTCTACTGAGTGAAGCGCAAGAAAAATCCTGTTGTAACACTGGCATTTCCTACGTCCTGGGCTCTCACAACCAAAGGATGAACGGATTCGACACAACATGTCTCCCAGGGGCCAGGCTGTGCTGGGTCTTCGGGATTCCAGCGCGGCAAAGGAGGAGACTGAGTCCTGCCCTCAGGGAGCTCACACTGACGGGGAGCATTTAGACTGCATTACAGTTGGGTCACACAACGACAGGGCATTGTAGAATTTTATAACAGGATTTCATGCTAACAAAATTAAGATCGCCAGTTGTGATCTTAATATTTTGGTGCTTACCCTGTGCTGGCACTCCAGGTGTATCAGCTCACTGAAGCGTCACAATAACCATATGAGGGGGATTTTACTATTATTTCCATTCTTTCATTCAACAAGTGTGAATGCCTCCTACGGGCCGCACACTGAGCAGTCACAGAACAGCCCCCTGCCCACGCACAGCGTTCTGTGAGCGGGGTGGGGAGCAAAAGGACGACGGACACAATGGAGAAGTCAATCATCACAGCACGTTAGAAACGGATGAGTGGCACGAGGAAAAGAAAAAAATCGGGGGAGAGGGGTGTGTGTGGATACCTGGGCAGCCTCGGTGGGAAAGTAGGATTTGAGCAGACTTGACGTGAGTTAATTGTTTCATTCCTTTTAGAGACTCACCCAGCACACATACAAGGCTTAGCTGGGACGCAAACCCACACATGCTAACACCGGCACCTGTGCTCTTAACCTGCCTGCTAACTTGGCTTCCGAGAAGCATCCATATATTATAGTAACTTATTTGCTTGCTCCCGTGCCTTTCAGTTCCCTGTCGTGTTTGCTACTATCATTTCCTAGCCTAGTGCCTGCTGCCACAGTAGAGACTTAATATGTTTGAATTAAATTATTTTTTAAATTACTGATTACATCAATATATCATGACAAAGTGTTTGTTGTATGTTGCCATGTCCAGCCCACCTCCCCGGCAGAGGAAAAGGTATGGAAAATCTGGTGTAGCTGGGGCTGCTGGAGGCTAAGGAAGCTTGTAGCTTTGGATGTCCTGTTCCTGTCACGTTGTGGAAGAAAGATGTCGTTGCCCTGCCGGAGCAAATGGGTCTTTCCTCTGAGCCAGGAGGATGGAGAGGGGGAGAATACTGAATAATTGTGAGACTCGTAAGAAAACAAGGATGCTTCTAGGTAGAAAACTTCATGGCATGATAGCCCACAAAGATTTATGAAGTGGAATCAGGGATTACAGGTAACGTTTTCTTAGTCTGCATTCACTTGAGAAAAATGCATCATGTTCCATGTGAGAACAATCTTTTGAACTTTTAAGAGACAGGGTCTCTCTCTGTCACCCTGGAGTCAGCCTGGAGTGCAGTGGCCAGATCATAGCTCACAGCAACCTCAATCTTGCAGGCTGAAGAGATCCTCCACCTCGGCCTCCTGAGTAGCTGGGACTACAGGTGCACACCATCATGCCCAGATACTTTTTAAATTTTTTGTAAAGAATAGGCCTTGCTATGGTGCCCAGGCTTGTCTCAAGTTCCTGGCCTCAAGGGATCCTCCCACCTTGGCCTCCCAAAGCACTGGTATTACAGGCATGAGCCATCGCACCTGGCCCAATCTTTTGAATATTAACTTACCTATTGAAGTGGTAGATATCCTGTATGTTTCCAAAAAGGGCTAATCTTTCTTCGGTCCCCAGAGGAAGTTTTGTTTGGTCCCTGATACAGTCAAGGTAATCCTGTGAAATCAATGAGAAGGATGCCTTAAACACTGCTGTTCTTTTACAAGTCATCTTTAATCATGCAAAATGAATCTTTCATATCTGCTTCAAGTAATTATACTAATGGGCTCATCGACTCAGAGTACAGAGTTGCTCTCTTATTAATGAATGTAATACTTACCTATTTATAGAACAGGGAGTTTTAGTAAGGAGAAAGAATATGATGTACATTAATGTTTCTACTCCCCAAATATATTAGGGCTTCCCTAGATGGATAATAGAAGGACCACAGCCCCTATAATGTCAGTTTCCTTGTCTGCTGTTTCCTTCAGTGATTTACAACATGATAAAAAGATACTCTAAAATTCATATAAAAGAAAACCAGAAATAAAAATTCTCAAATGTGACAGAATTGTTTTAAATATAACCTTTCACTCAGAAAACTATGGGTCGTTAAAGTACAGAATCTAATTCTTCCTCAAATACGGATTTATTAAAAAAAAAAAAAAAGGTGTTTTTTTTTAAAAATAAGCACATAACTCACTTAGGCCAACAGGCTATGTTAATGAGCTACGAAAACCTCTGAAATTATTTTCTATATTTTAACACAGAACCAGCTTCCACACACATCTAACGTGGTTTCAGACCCACAGTGGGTTAAGGTGACGTGGAGAAGAAGCTATTTGAACTGCTGAGAAAGGGGACAGCAGGTTCCGCCCCTTGTGTGCTAGAGAGTTCATAACTCAGTGTACCCCCTTCCCCCGGCACGGCTTGAAAAAGGACTCTGTAGGAGGCAAGAAGACAGTAAAGAAAAAAGTGAAAACAGCTGAAATAACGTAAAATAAAAAATAAATACATCCCCTGCCCTGGGCTGAACAATGCAGCATGGCTGCCTACCAAACGTAACAAGGCAAGCTGCAGCATTTGGAGGAAGTAACCCTGTGAGAAGTCAACCAGACCATGAAAGTCCCAGCACCAGGGCTGTATTCCAACGTCCAACAGCAAACACCGTCGGGTGTAGATGCAACTAGCAAAAAGAGAAGCTGAAACTTAAGAACCATCAGATAATTGTTTCTTACACATTTTAATAATCCGCTTTCATTCTCTCATGCTCTTTATGTTCCCCAGTGAAAACAGGCAGGGCTTCCTCATTTCCTTTCTCAAGTAGCACATTTCACTGTATGTGTCAAGTTTAATTCTGGCTCTTTCATACTAAAATCATTGTCATGCATGAACCAATGTTCGTAAATTATTATTCTTTTTTTTTTTTTTTTGAGACAGAGTCTCGCTTGTTGCCCAGGCTAGAGTGAGTGCCGTGGCGTCAGCCTCGCTCACAGCAACCTCAAACTCCTGGGCTCAAGCGATCCTCCTGCCTCAGCCTCCCGAGTAGCTGGGACTACAGGCATGCGCCACCATGCCCGGCTAATTTTATATATATATATATTAGTTGGCCAATTAATTTCTTTCTATTTTTATAGTAGAGACAGGGTCTCGGCTCAGGCTGGTTTTGAACTCCTGACCTCGAGCGATCCGCCCGCCTCGGCCTCCCAGAGTGCTAGGATTACAAGCGTGAGCCACCTTGAGACAGAATCTTGATCTTTCACCCTGACAAGAGTACAGTGGCATCATCATCACAGCTCACTGCAACCTCCAACTCCTGGGCTCAAGGGATCCTCCTGCCTCAGCCTCCTGAGTAGCTGGGACTATAGGCACGCGCCACCATGCCCAGCTAACTTTTCCATTTTTAGTAGAGACAGGGTCTCACTTTTGCTCACTGCTGGTCTCAAACTCCTGAGCTTAAACCATCCTCTTTGTCTCGGCCTCCCAGAGTGCTAGGATTATAGGTGTGAGCTACCACACCCAACCCATAAATTTTGTTTTTTTAAAAACAAGCTTTGTGATAACAGCTTTCATCTTAAGAAAGTGGTCATCTCAATAAAAAGCTAGATTTACAAGGTTTAAGCATAGTTGGCATTAAAACCCCACAATATCTTGGCCTAATCTTTTAAGTACTTGCATAAAATAGAGAGCTAATGCTGAAATAAGAAAAGCTAAAGAAAGCTAGAACTGAAGTTATACACTTCCTCAAAAAAAAAAATGTATTTGTCGATATTTCTGTTACATTACACATGGGACGAAAAGATGGACTAATGGTCACTTGCATTGGATGCTTATATCTGATAGTAGCTTAAGACTTTGCCGGACATTTTAAAAAGTCACACAGTATACAAAATTAAGAAGGTAAAACAGAAGGACCTGGATGGGCCTGATCCGCCCAGCAGAGAGAGGCGGGGCAGGGGCCATGGATGCATGCCAGGTTCACCTGGCTGGCCTCAGAGGCTCTGCAGCGGGGCTTAAAGACAGAAGGAACAGTCCTTTTTCTCACTTCAAGTGTGAAGCTTGCTCACTTGCAGAAACCCGATACTAAATTCTTCATATGAGAGAAAGATTTAGTTAAGGGGCTTAAAGAATTTCAACTGGGGTTAGAGACAAAGAACCATGGCCTGCTTCCAACAAATGATGGCCCACCTCCAACTGAAAGAGTTTCAAAACCCTCAGAGTCTATGGTAGAGAAACTAGATTTTAAAAGCTGCTTGTTTTCAGAAATTGTTGAGAAAATAGATTGTTAGGAGTCCAGATTTCTGCAGGCCACTCTAGAGAACAGATCAAAGTCATATGGCCATAACTTGTTTCCAACTGATCATAAATAAGTCTTTTAAATATGATACTTTAACCTTAAACCAGTTAACTGAAAACTACTACTGTAACATGCACTGCATTAGCAGCTGCAATCATCTGTAGCCACAATGAGAGGTTTGAAGTTCAGGGATAATAACAGTTCATTCTAGCCTCAAAAATGACAGAGTAAGGATACCAGTGAAATTTATTAGAGCCTGTCACGCTGCTTATTAATTTTATTGGCTTGATGTCAGCACCTATGGCTACCCTTCTGTTAACAATAAAGGACCAATTTAAAACTTTTGCACTGAAAACAATTATTCCCCAAGAAGATCAAAGACTTTACTCTACTTTGGGGAGAGAGGGAGCAGAGACACACAAAACAGAGCTTTCCACCACTGAAATAATTTTCTGTTTTGCAATCTAAAATTTCCCCCAAAGCATGTATTTTCTAATCAGTTTATGTCCTTAAGATTTCTACCATTATGAGATTTGTACATGAGTGTCTTCCTCTCATTAACTTATTCCTTGTAATGTCTATTACTGAATATCTCCAAGTGGGAGTCTAACTTGGTGCTATGCAAAGTGTGGTATGTGGATAGGAGCCAGTTTGCAAACTGGTTGCTACTGAACTACCACGAGGTAAGTATAGATATTGAAAGTAAGCATGTAGAAACTTTTATACTAGTTTGACAGAATAACTGAATATCTGCTGAATCTAACAATAAATTTGTGCTTGCATTTTGTATATCTTATTCTCTTCTATTTGGTTTTTCTAGTATTTTTTTTTAATTCTTTACAATATTTTACAGAAGAATCAGTCTGTGACAGATCATAAGAAAACACACACACTAGATAGTTTGACAGGCACCGGTCTAGATAATCATCCGTCAAGCATACTGTAGAAAGAACGCTGTAGACAGTTCTTTCTATAAAAAGAACTGAGACGAAGGCAAATTCAGTGCCCTTGGTCGCTTACCTTATTTCTATAAGATGCCCTGAAAGAATTCTCCCTTCTTCCTCTGATATCACATTTAAAATATTTTAAAACTATAACCTATCTAACATAAGATAATCCATAATAAAAAAGAAATAGTTATTTACAATTATAACATCCATTAATACTTTATATCCTTTCTTTTCACTCTTCTCACTCACAGATAGGCCTGTTGTAGAAACAAAACGAAAAAGGTTCTGTTCCTAAATCCTCTTGCTCATATTTCAAAATTCTACCTAGTAGTTTTAGGGCTCACTCTTTTTGGTCTAACTTCTGTTGTTAGTACTGCCAAATGCCAAGCCCTTTGATAAGACTCTTAAGATTTTTGTTTTTGTTTTTGTTTTGGAGGAAGTGTCTTTTTCTGTTTCTCCAACTCCTCCACCTTTTCTAGAGAGTAGTCATCTGTTTATCCAAAAACTTGCCTTTCTAAATTTCATGTATTACACTGGGATGCCTCCGAAACTAGAATAACTTATGTTTTGTATATCGATTTACAGTTTAAAGCACATTCATTCATAGAAACCCTCCTCCCTTCTTTTTATTTTGAGGACATAAGAATGTGTACCAGGTTCTGTTCTACAAGCTAGAAATTTAAAATATGAATAAAACACGACCCCTTCCCCCAAGGAGCTCCCAGTCTAGTTGAGGAGGCAAACGTAAACACATCAGTACAATACAGGGCTTTGGCCACAGGACTGGTGAACAGAGCCAACCCTGAGCCTCCAGCCCCTTCCAGAAATGGTCTCAGGGAAACGTGGGGGATAGCGGATCCCCGAGGCCAATGACTAGGGTGCACGGCAGACTGAGTTGGAAGTGGGTAACAGGTGCGTACAAATTCTGAGATGTTTGGCTGTGGAGAGGAGAGTGGGGAGGGCAGTAACTGGAAGAAACGCGGGAGCAGGCAGGATGGATGGACTGACCATTCATCCATCTATCCGTGTGTCCATCTATCTGTCCATGAACAGGTTATAAATTTCAGGGAGGAGGAGGTGGGGGAGGAATCCCAGAATCACGAGAGGGGAATAAACAGCCGTGGCGAGTGCCGAGGAGGACAGAAGACCACCCTCGGCGCCGAGGAGGGGACGGGAAGCCTGGCAGTGGCACTGCAGCTGGAGAGGGCTGGGGGTGGCCACATGGACACTGGCAGCTTCGTTGTATGTTGTAGAAAACAATCTGCTAGCAAGTCGCAGCACATGGGTGAAAACACTCCCTCTCCCTCAACTGCCTTCCCTTCCTCCCCAGTGTCACTCCTGCAGGTGGCTCTGGTTACCAAGGTGGAACCTGTGCTCTCGGGCTGCCTTCTAGGCGGATCATTGTATCTGCCAACAGCAAGATTCTACCT